GTGTGATAGATCACATGTTTCACCGAATTTTTGTCAATTAACTCTGGTCTCGTTTACATCTTAAATTTCAATCTAATTGAGACATTATGACAAACAAAACAGAGCGGAGCAATACACAAAATATAGTAATTCTTTGACGCTTGAAAAGTACAATAGAATAATTTAACAAATTATGATCAAGGCTAAATGACTTTTACTAATACGAGTAAAAAAAAAATATATATATATATATATATATATATATATATCGACAAAATGTAAATTACTTTAATGTACAAAAAACTACATTGCATGTGGGAAAAGAAAAAGTTTCAAAGCCAAATCAACGGAAAATCGTGAGAATTCTTGACGGAAAAGTAGGGAAAAAGTATTGGCGAATTGATTTTACCTTGATCATCGCACTCGGTATTTTCGGATTTCATGCCCTCTTGTTCCGTGTTCTTATTGTTATTATCAATCCATTTGGCATCCATATTCCTGATTCTTGGTTTTTCCGTATCGTTGATAATGGATTGGACGAGATTTGGGTCGAGAGCTGCATTCGGTGGATCATAGTAGTATTGGAAAATATTGAATCGGGAGTACTTTCTCCCAGGTTTGCCATTATTTCCAATCTCGCCGAACATGTCCACTGCTACTTCGTATACCGAATCACCCTGTCAAATTTCCTTAGGTTTGTTCGCTTTTCAAAATTTTTGTTGCTTTCCGGTATGGAATTTTGAATACCAGAATAATTACAAACAAATGAAATAACGAAGACTAGAGCTTATTGGTTCCACTACTTTTACGAAAAGGCCACTGCAATTTGTTTTTACGATAACTATATAATAATAACAAGTAGACGGCATATCGGGTACGTAACATTATAAGTGCGATAATCGATATTGCTGTAAATAATTATAATAATAAACTCGACTTATCGGGATCGCACAAATTTTGGTAAGTTAACGTTAAGTTGAAACTATAAATATCGCGAGTCCTTACGCAGGCTCTCAATAATTACGTCAATAATCGCGAAATAAACACGAGCGGTTCCAAAAACAAGAACAAAAAAAATGCAAAAAAAAAAAAAAAATGCAAACAAGTACAGTGACATACAAGCTATAGCCTCCTTTATTGTTAATCCTTGAATTTTGAGACTTAACGTTATGCCGTAATCATTATTTCACTTAAAGCATTATTAACTTCGAAATATTAATGACGAATTGTCATTCTCGTTGCTTCGAATATATAAAAACATAAATATAGACGTTATTTTCGTTATTTTCAATTTTCATATTCTGGTGAAGAAAAATTACAATCGACGTTCACATTATGCCACATTTTTTACATTTAATAATCCTATTTTGCTTAATTTTCGCCGTCCAGCTTAAGTTATGCTACAATAACCTTTCTCTTTAATATACATTTAACGATTTTTACAAAATGATACAAGAGCTATAATATTACGTGTTACTCCGAGCAAAGCCATAAATTCAATTTCGATGAATAATTCTTTTGATAAGGACTTGATACGTAGGAGTTATCACATTAACATCTCTGGTATTTTAAGTTACGCTCAATGGCTGTGTAACGACGCGTAGTGGCTCAAAACGTTAAGTCTGTCGTGTGGGACTTAAAAGAAGGAGAGAGAGAGAGAGAGAGAGAGAGAGAGAGAGAGAGAGAGAGAGAGAGAGAGAGAGAACGAAAAGGAAGAAATTCGTTATTGTTGTGAACAAAGCCGGGAAAAAAGATGGAAGAAGGATTCGTAAGCATCATTCACAAGGTAAATCTGTAAGTTTGTTAATTCCATATGCACAATCATATATTGTGTATAATCCATTATATTTTACTTTAGAAACCGCAATCGGCTTCACTCTAGCGATAAATTTTAATAATATAGCCAACAATTTTTAAAATATAAATAATTAACGAAGATTCGTCGAAACTCGACAATTGCAGCTCGAACTGAAAATAAAAGCGACTGTTGCTCGAGGTCTTAAGACACGTTGCACGTGGTGTTTGTAATATTTAGATTTGAATTATTGAACAAATTTGTAAATCTGGGGGAACATTTACTATTATTTCGTACTTTATTAATCAATACTGCATGATTGTACGATCGAAAACTCTCGACGCCTATGAAGATAATGCGTAACGATATCGATAAATAAATCGAATCCCTCGTTCAACTCATTCTAAATATTGGGCATAGGAATTTCAAATTCTATAGTGTAACGTTACTCAAGAAGATATAAATTACTGTTACTACTATAAAATTCGCCGTATCTAAATAAAAGAAGAAAATGAATTTAGAATAGAGGAAATAGCACAGAGAGGATGAGTGTGTACTAACCTTCCAGTTATTATTATCCGTGGAGTTTAATCTATTACTAAAGTTTTCTACATATATATCAGCAACTTTGGCAGCAGGAACTCTGAAAATAGAGCGAACAATGAGGTTAAATTGTTGGACGGGTAGCGATTTCGCTTGGCATAACAAACGCAAAGCAAGCGGCATATCAAATTTAATCGACAGTGTCGTTTGCCATTAGTAAATAGGGGAGTAGTGTTATTAGTAAGTAGCGTTGGTGGTTTTGGTAGTGGTGGTGATTGTGGTGGGGGTGGTGACGGTGGCGGTTTTGATGGTGGTGATGGTAGTAGTGACAGTAGCAGCGTTTGGTGATAACGGCGAGGATTGATAATCGCGCGTCGTCGTGTCGATGTGTCGATGTGTCGATGTGTCGATGTGTCGATGTGTCGATGTGTCAATGAGGCAAACTCACACGCTGAATCTCGGCCAACCGATCTCGTTCTCGTGCATGAGCACGAGGTCGCCCTTCTGGTCGCAGATGAGTCCGTTGAACTGCTTGGCGAATGTCGAGATGAAGGGCCCGAGGATGGCGTAGGCCGCGTTCTTGACCCAGTCGGACTCATCGTTCAGGTGGCTCGCGAGGAGCTTCGTCAGCAGGTATCGGCGTATCGGCAGCGTCATGCACCGCGTCACCGACATCATCACGGTCACCGCGGCCTTGCGCACATCCCACTCGTCGTCCAGGCAGAGCATCGCGTACTTATTCAGCTGCGGACAGAAACGACCGTTTAGCCTCTGCTCCCGCGACCTCCCGCGTGGTAATACGGCATTCCCACCTTCCCCTCCATCCCGCCCTCCCTCCCGACCCATTTAGAGGCTTCGACTCTTTGGGAAATGTCCGGCTCGCGTAATTAAACGGGCCGAGGTTTACAAGTCGTTTGTTTTCTCCTCGGCTTGGATTATTGAATTGACGAAGAGTCCGAGGAATGGGGAAAAAAACGAGACGACGCGTCACCAAGACCTTTCGAGCGACTCTGTACGGTAGCATCGGTATTGAAGAGTGAGATAGATAAATAGAGATAGAGATATAGTGAAACGAATAAGAAAATTATTGCAACGATAAGACAAAATAATTTTCAACTCACTAGTTTGTTATAAATTGTCTCCCTCGTCATTATCGTGCAGAATTCACCTATGGTGGTGGCGCACATCTTCCTCACTAACATACTCGAACTCGTACAGAGGTCGAGAAATCGGTCGAGGAACAGTTTTTCCGTCTGTTCATCTCCAATGTACTGTTGAACCTGATTAATGAGCTGCGAACGTAATAGGGAATATTAATGATCGATCGTGTGGGCTTGCCGACACTAAATAAACAACATCGTTTCATATAACATTTAATGACTGAATTATTAGTTAAACAGTGTAGTGCTGCTCCTGTTGTGGCGCTAGAAGAACATTTATGCATATTGGCGATAATGTTTCGACAATTGTTAATTAACCAATTGCTTTAAATTCCACCGAGTGTGAGCCACTAGGCATTAGCGCAAAGGGAGTCTTAGATGCGGACATTATGCGGAGCTATCGAGTACATAGTTTGGTACAGGTAAAAGTCACGTGGGGATGAGGGTTGGGGAGGGGGGGGGGAGGGGGGAGGGCGTCCAATGCAAGCAACGATAAAATCAATGAACCTGTCGTCTTGAGATTTAAACGCTGACTTTTCGATGTCCCGTATTTAGTTGATTATCATCGATTTGTTTCGCACATCAAAGCTGGCTGTGATATGCGTTAAATCACACCATATCACAACCACTCTGACGGGCGAAACAGCCGAGTATCTTCCTGCTATTCCGGGAACGCCTTGCAATTCCTTTATATTATTCATAATTAGCGTGTCAAATTAGTATTGTAGTATGCATAGATTGTTTATTGTTAGAATTATCGTAGTGTTCGAGTGTAATTTGGCGCAATTTTTACGTCCACATGGTATTAAATGTACTTTATTAGGCCACCTAAAGTATTACAATATATTACGGTATAAATATAATATTTCGTGACGTAAGTACGACTCGCTTATGAATTAAATTGAAGCCTGAAACTGTGAAGGGATCCTGAAGTTAAGGTGTAACTACCGAAAATTTTTCTCAAACATTTTTGCGCGTATTAATCTCCAACTAATGTGTCTGTATATTGATAAGAGCGTACCATCCGCCGATAATAATGTAAAACTTGGTTAAAACAGAATAAGCGCATGTAATTGTGAATTAAATTTCGTTTTATTGCAGTGTTATTGTTGGGAGCATTAGTACTATTCGACTCCCAACTTGACAATTTCTCGGACATTTTTCCTTTAGGAATAGAATTAACCAAATCTCATTTGCCCGCTCCCCTTTGTTTTTCCGTGTCCGGGACAGACGCTCGTAAAATTAATTCACCCGCTTGAAATACTTTTGACCGTTAGTGTACACACGTGAATACGCACACAGGCATCCGAGAGAGGAGCCGCCACTACTGGTGCTGCTACCGCCGCCGCCACCACTCGTGACTCTAACTATGCCCTAAGAGGGGCGGCGGCGACGGCGGCCCGAAGTCGGGAAGGGGTCGTCCCCCGGATCCAAGGAAAGAGCGCCGTGTGTCCCACGATCTTAATTCCGCGAAATCGGTGGCAACTAAGGCTAAGTCCTCTCTCGTACACATGCAGCCATTATTAAGTACGTAGAGTCGGCCCCGTAGAATCCGGACGGCCCTGAAGCGGACACCGGTCTCTCTTCCCCCCACCGCCCGCTTGCTCGCTCGCTCACTCACTCACTCACTCACTCACTCTCTCTCTCTCTCTCTCTCTCTCTCTCTCTCTCTCTCTCTCTACCACCACCACTACCACCACCATCGCCACGAAACGTACCCAAGCTCTCTCGCTCTCCCTCCCTCTGTGTGTTGCCTCGCGTTCTCGAAGGGAAAAAAAGAGGGGAAGAAAAATACTACGGGACCGGTGATGGTGGGGGAAATAGGCCGCGAAGGACGTGGTGGGAGGGGGGGGGGGTTGTTGAGCACTTTCCTTAGAATAGGTGCTATCTTTCGATTTTATCTACTTTTTCTGCTTATTTTATAAATTTGCGCGCTGGCGATGTGCACAGCGAGTGCTCTTGATGTTCATGTTTTGTTTACTTTAATTCGATCGTTCGCAAGGAACGCGAGAACAATCATTACGAGTGCAATCCAATTTTCTTACCATCTAATTACCGCGAAATTACTTACACGTGCTTACTTTGTTTCTGTTTAATGTTTAATGTTATGGGCTTTCTTTACTATCAGTTTTAAGTTGCAATGCATTCGATACAATGGGACTTTAATTTAAAATTCAACTTGATAAAATGTTGCTACGCTACGCTTGATACAGCACAAGCATAACGAACATCGAAATACTCGTTGATATCAATTATGGGGAAAACTTTAACGGCAATGTATTTAATTAAATATAATAATATAACGCATCGCTTTTAGCATTCGTGTATGACGTACGCTTTAATAAAAATAACAACCAGTTACAAGTAGCATTTATAATAATATCATTTTATTCAGAAAATTGCTTTCAAGTCTCGTAGATTTACATAGACTTTTATTTACACTTTATTCCTAAACACTTACATTCCATTGCTTTAAGTAGCGATTTAATTAACGTTTTAATAAAGGACAGCGACTTTTTTTTTTCTTCTTCATGACTAGTCGGTGTGACGAGTCAGTGTCGGTGCAAAAAATAACGACGCAACCAACGACTTTCTTCGCAACATCACAATTATCGACGATATTAATAGCCGCGATCGGGCCTGCCCGCACAACACAACATTATTCTCCACGTGTCATTTACACGGCCAAAGTACAATATCGGGCCCAACATGTTTTTTAACGATGTTTAATGATTCTACGAGATATCTTGTCCGTACAATAGTATAGGTGAACGACTCGCGGGCACGTATCAGGAAATAAATGGGGCGACATCCAACGTATCTCGTCTAGGCCGTCAGGCTCTAATGTGCCGCTCGTATTCTTCGAGGAAGGAGAGAGTCGCTGAGGAGGAAGACGCTTACCGCTCAACAAAGCTGGCTGTGATATGAACTGAACGAATCAACATACAACAGCCACTTTGTGAGCGACGCGATCTCCAGTGACAATGTTCTACCTCCCTCCGTCCTCCTCGCGGCCCCCAACGGCCCCAACAACGGCCCCAGTGCTCCTTGGTAGCTGCGATTGCGATCCCGAGGCTCTTTTTTGCACTTTCGTGGCTGTTGTAAGCGATGATCGAACTCGTCAAAAATGGCTGTGATATGAACATTTAGACAACACGCCACAACCAATTTGACGATTCGATCACGCTTCGTGCTCTATACTAGACGCTGTCGCATAAACCTTTACGAATTTGGAATTGTTTGGTTGGCGAGCAATAGAGTTCACCACTCCATCAATTACCAAGACGACCATTGTTGTGTCCCTTTTCCTTTTCTCTTTTATCTTTTATCTTTTTGCTTATAATTACTAACTATATTAGCGTTACTTTGGATGCTCTTATACGAGCCACTTGGGAACTTAACCCTTCCTCCTCCACCTCATCCTCATCCTCATCCTCATCCTCCTCATCCTCCTCATCCTCCTCATCCTCCTCATCCTTCCCATCCACCCACTCAGACCGATAGTTCGCCAAATGGGAGACAAATCGAATGGCGGTCGATGATTTTATAAGTCCTACAGGCTAAAAACATGCGTATTTGTGGGATGGAAACACGGCATAGAGGATGAATAATTCCATATTATATATGACTAAATCGTTAAATAATAATAATAATAATAATAATAATTCTTATAATAATAATAATAATAATAATAATAATAATTATTATTATTATTATTATTATTATTATAAAATGCCTTTATTTAATGTTTCAAATTTATATGACTCTTGGGTAAAAATAATCGTTAGCAAAATATATTTAATTTGTCACTCGTGGATATAAAGAAAAATTGTCAACGACTTGGCAAAAGATTCCCTTCTGGATTATAATTATAATTCGCATTATGCACTTACAGCGATGCTTACTCATTATAAACAGCAAACGGTTTTCTAGTTGGCATTATTAAAAGCCTTTATGTAACGCAATTATTAATCATCATTGGGCTATAAATTTGATACGTAACCATCATAATCATTAATGAACGAAATCTAGTATAATCTACTTAGCATTCGTTACGAACTATAAATATAAGTACGATAGAGTTCATATTTTGCCAAACGTTGCTTAAGTTTAATATGTCGAAGTAAGCTACGACATTAGATGCAACAGAGCCGTTTTTCTTTTTCTTTTTCTTCACTTTTTGTCACTCCTTTCATCGTTGCTTCTTTTTTATTTTCTATTAAATGATAATAACGTTAGAGCTACTACATTTATCTTTAAAGCGTTAAAGCGAGTTGCATCGGTGCAGCTGGTTGCAATAGTCGAGAGATATTGCGCATCTGAAAAGCGTACTATCATCGTACATATAAGGCTATGCATACAATTTTAAACGAAACGATTAGGATGATTGGTCTCTTTCACTCATTCGCTCTCTCTCTCTCTCTCTCTCTCTCTCGCTCGCTCGCTCGCTCGCTCGCTCGCTCTCACTCTTTTAAAGCGAATACGCGCCAAACTCGAAAGAACGATGCGCAAGCCGTGTGGATAGATTCTACGGACCAAGCTCATCAAAATGGCTGTGATATGAGAATAGCAAAACATTCCACAACCAATTTGATGTATCGGACCGCAAATGACTGTTTCGAAAGCGCGCGCGGGCACCACCCACTCCATCAACAGCTCGTTCGAAATTCTCTCGGCGATCCTCTTGAATGGGCTCCAGCGCTGGATGCTTTATTAAGAGATGATGTCGAACACAATTTTCCTCATCAAAGCTGGCTGTGATAGTCTATACTCTATGACAAACCAGCTTTAATGGTAAAAGGATGCCCTTTTTTACCGACGTCGTTCTCACCCTCTCTCTCTCTCTCTCTCTCTCTCTCTCTCTCTCTCTCGCTCTTCTCCTCTCCTTCCTCCCTAAATGTCTCATCGCGAAGCTCCCGCGTAAGGAGGATGTGGCTCGAACTGTGTCCATCGATGGGCGGCGATTTGCCGCCGAAGGTTCGGCGAGCGCCGCATGAAAGACAAGGTAGTGAGACGCGAGTGAGGGGTAAACATCTCACTACCCATGTCTTTCAGGCGGAATTTCGCTCCGTGTGCTAATGACGCCGACCTGAATCTGGCGGCTACGGTCCTTTACGAGTACACCGACACAAGTACATCTAGCGCAAGAGTAAACTTCCTCGATTTGCGAATAAATTTAATTACTCAAGCAATTAGGAATGCATCTCCTTTCCTTTAAACGTTCTAATTATTATCGACCGTTATTCGGCGCAACTTTGTACTCGACGTCCAGCGCCATGGACACAGCGCGCGCCTTCTTAGCTACCACCAACCGTAACAACAATGCCGAAATAACAATTAGGCTTAATCATTGTTTATTTATCGGCAACTACAACGATACTCTTTGGGCATAAAAAAATCATGATGTTTTAATGGATCGTTTAAATTATGAAGAATGGCCTCATCGGCCCTATGATTATTTTATTTTTATTTTTCCTTTTTTTGCGCGCGGAATTATTTTAAATTTTCAATATGTCCGATCCATTATTGCATCGGTGTAGTTACGTTAATAAAAGAATCGGAAGTTTCATTTCAAGCGCGTTCTTTTATTCTCAATATTTGGGGCTGCGCTAAACAGCAGCTGAATGATTTTCTTTGTATATATGTGTATTAAGTGGCATTCGCCGACTTGTGTCAAGCGCTCGACAATTTTCCATTTCAAGCTGCGCATACACTGATATGAGATAATAAATGGAGAAAAAAAAACAACAAACAAAATGGAATAAAGATAGAAGGAAAGAAAAATAAATGGAGAGATGGGTGGTGGTGAGGGGTGAGGGGTGAGAGGTGGGAGGGTGTGGGTGTGGGTGTGTGTTTGTGGGGGGGGGGGATTGAGAGTAAGAAGTTGAAAGATAAAATCGAGAAACTTACGATTAGCGCAAAGCTCTGGGCACTTGCAGGTTTGCAATAAGAAAGCTGGATAATGGCAGGACAGATATTATTCTGAATCTGTTCCAAGGTCAGGATATTTCGGTCTAGAATCAGTTTGAGCGCGGTTTGGGCATCTCGCCGTACCTGCAAAAATTTACCGAAAAACAAAATCACTCGATAATTAGATACGACAAAATATTGGCTGGCTCAAGGTTTTCGTGATTTAATTTTTATTGTCATAATTTTCAATAGTGAAAGAGATTAGTTAGATATGGTAGAGAAATTGGTAGACTTTACAAGCCAGCCTCTCTCTCTCTCTCTCTCTCTCTCTCTCTCTCTCTCTCTCTCTCTGACTCTCTGTCTCTCTGTCTCTCGACAGTGTAATTCAGGATCGTTTAATCGCTGTTGGCGAAGCAATTAAATAATGATTTATCTGGCAGTTAATTGGCGTTGAAAATTCCAAAAATTAATACCAAACTTCAAATGCCCGACGACACTAAATTACACCTCGATGATCTCGCTTCAAAATCAAGCTACAAAAGCATTTGCCGCGGCGAATTAACACGCGGTCGTAAAAATTTCGTCCCAACAAATTTTGAAATTCTTTGGAAGATGCGAACGTTAGCCAAGAAGGACAAATACGTTATTCATTCAATTACCTCGCGCTCCTTGTCAGCTACGCATGTGAGAATGATATTAAGTATGCATTTTATTGCGCCCCTGTGAACGAGGTCCACCGATTCATAGCATACGACCGCTACATGGGGAAGATACTCAACCAGCGATGACCTTACGGATTGATCTGCAAACATTAAAGAACAAACGATTAATTAACGGGACTCTGACAACGATAAACGATAATAAACGCACATATTTACACATAAACACTTTTTCTTTTATATATTTATTTTTTTTTTTATTATTTTCTTTTTGTTTTTTCTCTTTATTCTTTTCTTCTCTTTCTTTCTTTTTTTTTTCCTTTTCCTTTTTGCGACAAGTTACATTTCACCTCCGGCTATTTATGCCACTGGCATTGTGTCGAATAATTGCTTTGCCATCGACACACCATACACAATGACCGTCTAATCCAATACACGATTATTCCCAATCGTAAAAAGAAGGAACAAACGGTACTTAAGTTGTTCAAAGCCTTAAAATTCAACTCGACGTTGCATTTACAACACGATAATCATAAAGAGCGGTGCACGCGAGCCCCCCGGAATTGACAATCACCTTGTGCACATGACGCGCCTACGTGCACTTTAATAAAGAATTCGGACGAAGGAGGAGGAGGAGGAGGAGGAGGAGGAGGAGGATTTGGAGGAGGAGGGATGGCGGGACGAGGGCAGGGGGCGCAGAGGGAAAACGAGACGAACGTAAAAATGCGTGACTATCGAAAAAATCGGGCAAGGCAGACGGATGGATATTCAAGGGCCGTCAGTCACATGTCCCCAATGATTTAAGGGAGGTCAGGGCTAAAAAGCCCTCCGGGGCCTATTGTTCGGGCCTATTTCCCGGGCTGGCGGGCGGTTAGTCGCTCGGGTTGAAAGTCCAAGTCCGGGATGCGCCTCTATACCTGTATGCGGACGCGGCGGGAAAGACTCTATTCCGGAAATTTCGTACCTTTCCCATTTTCCTCCTAAGGACTCGGTCTATTGCAACGGCCTCTGGCATGAAATTCTTCAAATTTCTCGACTCAAAACATTGTAATTCTTCTGCTGCTCCCACCACTTTTTCTCTTTTCCGGCCACTCGCAGTACTCGCCCTTACTTCTGTCGGATGTTCATCACGAGCACTGGCGTCCTCCAGCCCACTACCACCGACGACCATTCCTCCTTTGGCCTTCATTTATTTAATTGATAACTCGTCCTGCCAAGAGCTTTACCAATGGATGCGATGGCTTAAGCTCGCAGAGCACCTCTATTTATACTTGTAAATGCAAGAGTTTCGAATTTAATGTGGCGGCAAATTATTTGCAGCGTCAATAATCAATAGCCCCATGGATAATTGAAATCTCGACAAGTACGCGAACGTGATTCCTAACCCGCGCAAATATCAGTTTTGGGTAGCAAGAATCAGCCCGCCAGGCCAAAACGAAATGAGCCAATGAGGACGGGGCAACGCGGCGGCATATAACCCCGTTGAACGGCAATTATGATAAATAATGACGTACAATGACAATCACCACGAAGAAGAGAGCAAAACACAAATGGCTGCGAGTGAAGAGGCAAAGAAGTCACTGGCTAAGCGACCGAGGCTTCCAATTGCCAAATGAAGGAAAAGTGGAAAGAGGAGCCCCCCGCACGGTCCCGCCGCCTACGACGCAATCGCCCGCACCCAACCGTTACAATCCTACGGTTACTTTCATACGCAGTGCCGAAAAATCCTCGGAAAACGTCACGATGCACCACGAACGAACGCGTGGGTGCAACTGACTAGGTTTTTCCTTTGGCGGGAAGACGACGCCTCGCTATTCGTTGCGCTCGTTTCTCTCTCGCTCCCGCCAGAGAAACGACGCGACAGCCACTCGAAAAAGGGCAAGGATCCTCGTCCCCTCCTGCCCCTTCCCTCTCTCGCTTGCACACGGACTCTTATAATATGGCTTTTCCGGACCACGGACAGACCGCCTGCATGACGTGAAAGTGCGTTTTTCCATCTGCTGAAACGCAAACGGCCCAACTCTACAATGCGTGCACATGTATAATCGATGCTTAACGCAAAAGTGCCCGTTGCATGAAAATATTTCTGTCGGCAAAGGTTTCGGCTCGAACGAGAAAATTATAGGTAGAGAGAGCATGAGAAAAACTTTAGTTACACGTGTGAAAAACTATCGCTTCGAGAACGTTAAAAATAAGCTCTGTAAATACATTATAAAATATGTAATGGTTATTTACCCGTTATTAACGTTATTTTTGTAAATTAATATGAAAAATTACCACCCAAACATTCTCATGATATGAAATACGTACGTGTACTTCGTAATTTTCCATAGTATTACAAAAGTTTTATTACATATCCAACGGTTTTGATAGATTTAAGAGTATTTAAGGATTTGAAAAATAAAATATTAAAATTTTTGCGTTTCTGAAATTTCGTTACTTGAGTTGAGAATGTAATTTTGGCCCTCGAGTGTTGCCAAATTAAGTACCAAAGTTCGATTTTTTGTTGTAATTACGCAATAATTGTAATAGCAAAAGAAAAAATTAACAATAATCGGGGTCCCCTGAAATGTTTTCGTTGAATTCTACCTAAACGTTATACAGACAATTAAATAAAAATTCCGTCTCTTAGTCTTCCAATCCAAAAAACACCTTGGCCTTGCATATGTTAACAACAAAAGGAAGAAATAAGACAATAATACGGCTTTCGCAGTTGAAAAGTACACGGTAAAGCAACGATCGATCATTGCGCTTGTCGAACAATACAGTTGAGCGTAATAATAATTGGAAGCAAATTTGAAATGGCATTGGAACGATATGTTGGGTGCGCAATATACATCTCGCATAGACTCGAGCCAGCACCCGAGAGTGAGATAGGACGTTGTTGAGGGTGATCGTGGATGGGAGTGAGGGGCGAGGGAGGGCGAATGAGCGAGTGAGCGAGTGAAGGAAGAAATGAAAGATAGTGGGGCACGCGTCATGGCACGCGCCACAGCGTTCCGCCTCAAAAATACATTAACTGCGGCGTCGGCGACGATCCCCGAAAAAGCGTATACTTATATACTAGACATGTGCATCGGAGCGAGGGTGAGGAGGTGAGGGAGATAGTGTTCCTGTCGGAGTTCAGCCGGAGGGGATCGGAAAAAAGGTGTATGTGCCCAGCTGCCGTCACCGACGCCACTGACGCTCCTCCTCCTCCTCTCCTCTCCTCTCCTCTAGCCGCTGCCGTTGCTCTTTTCTTAACAAACGCTCCTTTCTCGACTCCTCGATTTTCGAATGAAAAGCCGCTCGAAAATACACCCTAATTCTTTAACTATGAGGCAGACGTGAGCTTTTCCCTCCAAAATTACGGCCAGACTACTGCAACATACGGGAGACGCTTCTTTCCTATCTAAATGCTCGCGCTCTCTCACTAACCCCTCACCGCGACTCGTTCACTCATTCTGAAAATCAGTCTTTCTAAATGCTTATAACAGAACCTTCTAATCGAGGCTTTCATCTTTTCTAAATGCTTTCATATCTTTACGATATCAATATAAAATGTCTCCCCATTCGTCTTTTATGAGAAATTGTCATAATACAATACACTTGAAGAAACCATATAATGAAATACTGGTTAATCCAATGTAATATGGCAATGAAATCCAGAAACTTAAGAAGAAGACTTTTATTTCATTGAACCTCAATAAATAGGATAATAATATACACTCGGTTACAATAATCCATAAATATTGATTAATTATTCTTTTATTTTGTATAAATGTAGGTTATGTTTAATTGTTGATTAAACGAAATAACCAAATGAAAGCAACGACCAAGTATATTATAGAGATAGATAGACAGACACAGAGAGAGAGAGAGAGAGAGAGAGAGAGAGAGAGAGAGAAACAGATATGGTTTAAAATGATTTAAAATTCATTGCTAAAAAATACAGCCGACTGTTATCGAAAGAAACAAAAATGCCTTAGTGGTAAGTTTGAAGAACTTCTCCGTGAATCGATAATGATTTGTAGTTTGAATTCGGCTGAAACGATCGATCGATCCTGCGTACCACCCAAGCGTTTAAGCGTCATTGCCGTGCCGTAGGGAGCTTAAAAGAATGGGCTGCTATCTGACGTCGAGGGATGAAGACTTCACTCCAAGACTGGAGTGCCGCCCAAGTACTGCGGCTTCATGGCCATCGATCAACACTCGCATGGCCTTATCTCTTTTTGCTCCTCCTGTCTCTTTCCCGCTAAAAATACATGCGTGCGCGCGCGCGCGCGTCTTAACACATACGCGGGAAAGGCGAGGCGTTGATTCAAGTGCTCAACCAAGGAACAACAACCCTCCCCCCTCACACACACACTCTCTCTCTCTCTCTCTCTCTCTCTCTCTCTATCTATCTATCTATCTATCTATCTATCTATCTATCTATCTATATATATATATATATATATATATATATATATATAGATCCTGTGTGGAACGGATACCGGATGCCCAACAAAATGCCAACAGACTTTTGTCGGCCATCCGAGTTTCCTTTGCACACGCACGATGCTACTCGCTACCCCTTCCCCCTTACCTTCCGACTTCCACTGCATTTCAGTCGCACGCACTGTCAACGTCAGGTGCCCGGACTGTTAATTTACTCACTGCTTTATCTAGAATCGTAGTCTAATTAATTAGTGGATGGCTCACATGCCAGTGCTGCATCGCACGTATTGATGTAAAATTATGTCCTTGAAATTCAATTTAAAATAAGCTTAGAGCAACATTTTCATTTTTAAATAAATTATATATTAGTGCACTATTGCATCATAAATGTAATAATACTAATGTGAACAAGGAAAACGAAGCCGATGAATCTTAACAAAACTATTTTGGTTATTATAATTTTCACATAAATTTCAAAGACAGTGCCGATGCGAATGTGCGAGTCGATAAATAATTTCAACGCACGATGACGTAAACATTTATGAATTTACATATAATCTCGTTCAATTTGCCCAATAACGTCTTAATGTTCTTCAATTTAATGCCGATAGGCTGCAAATTTCTCGATCGTCCAGAATTAAATGCCACAGATTAGCGAAAGGCTAACAACAAAGTACAAGTCTATCGTAGAAATATTTATAAATGTCAAATGGCGCGGACTCGC